TTGTCTGCAAAGGTAGGCACTCGGTCCTCTTGACCATCTCATTTCCAGCACAGGAAGGTGAACTGTGGGCAGCAGGGGCTGGTCAGTAAAGCAAATAAAGCCCAGGGATGCCCGAGACAGGAAGTGGCTGCTAGTCAGTGTGGGTAGGAGAAGATACATGTTCCTGTTTGAGTGTGTGGTCCATTCAGTGGCCCTGTTAATTCCTCTCCCTGAGCCTCAAGATTTTTATCTGTGAAATGGGACTACTGCTATCTTAATGAGGACCAAGTATGTAGCACCCAGTTCAGTCATTCAGTCAGTCAGTTCAAACATTCATTTATCTTGTCAGTCAATATACTTACAGGCTTGCAGTTGTCCGGGCCACTTGTGTTGGCTGCCCCATCCTCTGGAAGGACATGCGGCAGGTCTGGGCTGAGCTGGGAGTGGGTTAGGGGCCAGACGAGGGGTCTGCCTCTCAAGGGAAGCCCTGGAAGAGGCATTAGAGTGGGGGCTTGAAGAAGGAGCAGGGCTTCAGCAGGCAGAAGGGTCAGTTCTGGCGGTCAGAAGTCTGACCTTGGTCTCACTGGGTTAAAATTGTGGTGTTGGCAGGGCTCTGTTCTTTCTGGAGACCCTAGGGGAGAATCTGAGTCCTTGCCTTGTCCAGTTTCTAGAAGCCACCTGTATTTCTTGGCTCATGGCCCCTTCCTTCAAAGCCAGCGATGGCTGGTCTGGTCTTTTTCACATCACTCTGAGCTGACTCTCCGACCTCCGCTTCCACAGTTCAGGACTCTGCGGTTGCATCGGGTCCACCCAGATCATCCAGGATAATGTCCCTATCATGATCCTTAATTCTGTTTGCAGCCTTAATTCCCTTTGCCACATAACCTAGCATATTCACAGGTGCCAGGAATTAAGGGACACTTTTGCCCAGGTAGTCCCTGCCCTGTTCTGGGGGCTGAGGAGGTGAGGAGGAAGAAAGCCCAGGTGGGGTCCAGAAGTCTGCATCCTTGGCCTGGGGCAGCGCTCAGGTAGCTGTGTGGTACCCACCCACCCTTCATAACTCCAGCCTCTGCGTCACATCCTCCAGGTGACTTTGACTCACTTTTCCCACCTCCCCTACTACCACCACTGTTGCCCCATTACTAGCAAGTCTCCCCCAAGCCCCACACTTTTCCTGAGTGTTGGTCATGACAGTCATTAAATAAAGCAGCATTTTTCTGTTTCCACACTGGTGATATACCATGATCACTTGATTCTCTGTTGTGGTGGGGGGGGCACTGTCCTGTGCACTGTACTATGTTTAACCGCATCTCTGGCCTCGACCTGCTAGATGCCCGTAGCACCCTCACCCAGTTGTGACAACCCAAAATATCTCAAGACTCTTCCATATGTCCTCTGGAGGACAAACTGCTCAGTGGTTGGGAACCACTGAAATCAAGCCTTTGATGTTTGTCTTCCTTACTAGATTGGGCATCCCAAGAGAGGGGAGCCCTAGAAGGTGACACCCCATTTGTCTTGCCTGTCACTATGTCCCCAGCACCTGCAGAGTGCTTGGCGTTTAGTAGAGCCTCAACACATATTGGTTGAATGAATGAATGAATTTGTGTTAATTTTCTTAATGGATATATTAATCTATAAAAAAGCATGTGTGTGTGTGTGCGCACATGTATGCAAAATAGATTCCTGTTTCCTTAGACGGCTACCTAAGAATTGCCTGGAGAGCTTTTAAGAAGTCACATTCCTGGGCTCCAGTTACAGTGTGTCAGGGCTCAGGCTAATGGATGCAGCCTGGGAATCTGTATTGTCAAGCAGGCTTCATCATCAGTTCCTCAGAAAGGTAAACCTAGAATTGTCATATGACCCAGCAATTCTGCTCCTAGGTATATACCCAAAGTTCCTGACAGCAGGGACTCAGATATTGATATCAGCGGTGTGCACAATAGCTGAAAGGTGGAGGCCACCCACGTGTCCATCGTCAGACAAATGGATAAACAAAAGTGGTGTGTGCACACGATGGAGTATTATTCAGCCTTAGAAACAGGATGAAATCTGACACACACTACAACATGGATGACCTTTGAAGACATGATGCTAAGTGAAATCAGGCAGTCAAGGAAGAGCACATGTTGCATGATTTCACTCATACAAGGTACCTGGAGAAGTCAAATTCAGAAAGAAAGTGGAATCGTGGTTGCGGCGGGTAGAGGGGAGTGGGAGCTAGTGCCCAATTGGTGCCAAGTTTCAGTTTGGGAAGACGAAAATGTTCTAGCGATGGATGGTGGTGATGGTTGCACAAGAGTGTGAATGTGATTAATGCCACTGAATTGTATACCTACCGATGGTTAAAATGGTCAGTTTTACGTTATGTGTATTTTACCACACACACAAAAGTGCTTAATCCCAGCCAGATCTGGGAATGAATTGTGTGGGAATGAATGGGGTGGGGTGCGGACTAGATGAGTTTTAATGGCCATTTCTGGCCTCAGAGTTGGAGCTGACTGGGACGGGGGCATCTGACTTGGCTGATTTCTCAAGAGGGCGGCTCTCCTCTGGGGGATGCACATACGAACTTGTATCGGGGCCAGGCCAGCCCCTGAATGGAGGCGGTGTGTCCTGTCCACAGGGGAAGCTGCTGCCTAGCTCCAGCTGATCCTTGCCATGTGGGGCGCCTGGTTATGGGAGACAAGTCCCAAATCTGGATTCGTGTAAAATCTAATGTTTCAATCTTGACACCTGGTTCAGTGAACAGGCAAGCAAACAAACAAGTCATGTGTGGGTTCAACAGAACAACTCCTTGGGCCTTGGGTCTGGGTGGTGGCTCTTCTCAGAGGCTTGGGCCTCAGCTAGAGAGGCCTGCGTTCTGGCTCTTCTCACCGAGTGCCATGTCACTTCTGAGGTCCGATGCCAGCATTTCCTTGCTTTCAGCGCATCCGAAAGGGAGCCTTGTAGATAGAAGGATGGGCATCGGCACCTAGGGTCTGGATTCTGCTCAGGCTGGGGTCTTAGCTCTGCCATTTGTGAGCTGTGGGGCCTTAGGAGACTTGCTTATTTCTTCCCCTTGCCTCAGTTTCCTTATCTGTCAAGTGGGAATGGTAACAGCTCTGCCTGGGAGAGTTAGGGTGAGGACTCAGGGAGCTCCGGTGAGGGGCTTGGCCCGTGGCAGGGCCAGCGGAAGGGATCTGTGGTGTGTGCATGCGTGTGGCGTGTGTCGCCTGCAGCTGGAGCAGAGAGCAGACAGAAAGTCGGACAGGCCATCAGTTGGTGGGTTACACGACACTGGACATCTGCTTCTCCGTCTAGGATGTGTCTAGTGACCCCCTCCTCCAAGAGTCATTCTGAGGATTAGATAAGGTAATATTCAACAGTGCTTGGCCGCAGTAGGTGCCCAATACACATTCGTTCTGTCCCTTGGAGTCTAAGGCCTTTGACCTCAGTGGAGATTTGAGCGGAAGGAGCTGGGGCCGGCTAATCAGGCTGAAGACAGGACAAGAGAGAGCCGGGAAATGAACTGTGTCCTGCCCCTTCACCATCAGCTCCCTCGCCTTCTTATTGGCCCCCAGGATGGGGGTCCTGGTCCCATCCTCAGAAGCCCACCCACTTGCTGTTCAGGAAGATGGCCTCACCTTTCCAGGGCAGTTGGATGAGTTAGCAATGCCCATTTATTGAGACTGGCTCTGTGTCTGCCCTGGAACACACACTGGGCTGCGGGTGGGCCCAGAGCTGAGCTCCTCTGGGCGTCCCTGGGTGTGCTGGCTGGAGAAAAGTGCCTTGCCCTGCCCAGACCCTCTCTGAGGGTCAGAGACCGGGGGGACTGCACACCCACACAGATCAGAGAGCTGGCTCAGGGTGCCATGGGCCTGCTCGAGATCCCATGTCTCTTAATCAAGCCCCAGGCTTCACAGGTGCTTGGGGTGTTGACCAGATAAAGAAGGATAAAAGGCCCTTAAAATCCCAAGATGCTGAGGAGCCTAAAGGGCTATGTGACCTTTGGTGAGTCACTGACCAGTAGGATCTAAGAGCTACTTTGGGTGAGGGCTCTGGGGCGGGGGGGCAGATGATGGCATCTCAGGTTCTTGGGGGACACAGAGGTGCCTTTAGGTCCAAGTTCCTAATGGTGGTGGGCTCAGGGATGCATAAGCCACAGTCAGTGCCCCCTCATTGTTTGCACACCTGAGCATTCTGACGTCTGTCCCCTGTCACCTGGATAGGGAGTGGCAGGGAAGATGGGGACACCTCATGTGTGTACCTCACAGCTCTGTGTGTTCATTGCATGTGCAAGATCACGGTGTGTGTTTGTTACATGTGTGTTCATTGTTTTTATATGTTTGTCATGTGTGCATGTTCATTGCATGTGTATCCATTGTGTGTGCATGTCCCGTGTTTGTGTGTTCATTACGCATGCACACTGGGGCAGGATGAGAGGCCTGACAGGGCCCTTCAAGAGTCCTTCCAGCCTTGAGAAATGTGTCCTCTAAGACTCCGGGGTTTGTGAGGAGGGAGAAGAGGGGCCACCCAAGACAAGTGGAAATTGGAGTCCTTGTCCCCAACATCTGGCCTCCAGCTGGGGATGGGGACTCTCTGCAGGAAACAAGAGGACACAATGAGGCAGTGAGGGGGCTGCAGTCCACCCGCGTGTGAATCCATTTCACCAGGATTTTCCCAGTCAGCGAGCCTGGCCCCTGACTTTGGAAGATTGTGGTCTAGGCTGGGGCTGATACCAGGCACCCAGCAGGGCTGCACAGCGGTGGGTGATGCCGAGGAAGAACAGGGCGCCTGGTGTGGGTGCAGACTTGGATGATGGACAGTGTCTGCTGCTGCTGCTGCTGTTGGGGATGGGGATCCCAGGCCCGAGTGAACCTGCAGGAAGAACACCCAGGCTTGAGGCCGGCTGGGGAGGGGGTGTGTCCCTGTTTCCCAGCTGGGAAGCTGGTGCACAGGCTCACTGGGATGGGACACAGGCTTTGGAGTCTCAGACGACACCAGCATCATCAGCTCCACGTCTTTCTCCCCCATCTCTGCAGGGGGCGGAGGAAAGCGCAAAGGGAAAAGCAAGAAGTGGAAGGAAATCCTGAAGTTCCCTCACATTAGCCAGTGCGAAGACCTCCGAAGGACCATAGGTAAGCTGTCCTGCCTCCGGGGGGCGCGGGGAGGGGCTGGGAGGTGGGGAGCATGGAACCTGTTAACTGCTGAACCATCTGTACAGTGAGTCAAACACAAATCGATTAATGCAGTGAGGTGATGCCAGGAAGGAGCTCCAAGCTGATGCCTTTGCTAATTGACATGAAGATGCAACCAGTAGTCGAGTATTTGGTGCGTGCCAGGCAGCATTATCTCCCGGTTACCCTTTGAGGCAGCTGCTGTCATTTTACTCCGCTTGTCAGCTGGGGAAACC